AAGCCTGGTTATTAGATGTCTAAAGGCTGCATTTTTGTGCTGTTGAGGGTGGTTTGAAGTATTGTGTATTATCGTGTCTGTGGCCGTGGGCTTTCTATATATCCCGAATTCGCATTTGTTGGTAACCTTATTTATTTTAATTGTTATGTCCAAATATTTTATTTTGCCTTCGTTTTCCTTATCCATAGTGAAATTTATATTCGTGTGTTGGTCGTTGAGATAGCCTAGAATTTGTTCTTCCTTGTCTCCCGTTACAAGACATATGATGTCATCGACGTATCTTGCGTAGAACTTTACTCCGAGGCTTGTTTTCAGCTCAGTCATATACTTTTCCTCTAAATGTTGCATGAATACTTCCATTAAAATTGCAGATGTGGGATTACCCATCCCTAGCCCGTTAGTTTGTCTATATATTTTGTTATTAAACTTGAAGTAGTTTTGGTCTAGTGTTACCCTCAATGTGTTCACGATTTCCGTTGCTACGTTCTTGTTTGTTTTTTCTATCAAAGTTTTAGTCAAGATGGTAACTGTTTCTGCCGTTGGTATCGATGGGTAAAGATCCTTAACATCAAATGATACAAATTTCGCATCTTTGGGTATTTCTAGCGATTTCATCCTCTCAACTAACTCCACTGTATTCGTAATTGTGTATTTATTGGGCAGTTCCAGTTTTTCTTTCAGCAACGATTTTAGATATTTCGATAGTTTGTATCCTGGTACAGATTTATGGTTGATAATTGGTCTCATCGGATTTCCAGGCGTGTATTTTTGGGAGTGCTATCATTGAAGGGGCCGAAGGATTCATTAATGTCATTGTATATGCTTTCCTTGGATTTATTATTGTTTTTGCTTGTTTTATTGCGTGCTTTACTGCCACTTGGTAGTCATCGGTTGGGTCCTTTCTCATCATCCGACAATTTGGCTCTTTGATTAGTTGCTCTGTCTTTTCTTTATATTCTTTTTCGTACATTATTACCGTTGCGTTCCCCTTGTCTGCTTTTGTTGTGATAACTTTATTCGTTTTGAGTTTTTTCTTTAGCCCTTTGGCAGTTTTATTTTCGTCACTTAGTTTTTTCTTAACCATAGATTTTATGCGTTTTTCAATTATTCGGGTTCTAGAATAAGGGGGTTTGTTTTGCTCGTTTATATAAACAGTGGATAAAAATATACGTATATGCGAAAGGCAAATTTATGTTTAAATGAACACAACCAATATTTCTTGTAAACACACATCGATTTACATCTTTTATTTCTTTTATTTGTACAAAATTACGCAAAAAAGCTTACTCGTTCGTTTTTAGGCATGCCATTGTTACGAATTTCAAAAGTTCGAAAATACGATTCGGATTGCAGCATACTATTTCTACGATTCGTAGCAAAATCCGAATACGAAAGAGTTGCCGAATAGGGGTGTATATTTAATACACCATTAGCATTGTTTCTGAAAAATTTCTCTTTATTTTATCTTAAGGCTCGATTTTTGGGACATTGGATGCTGTACCCGAGTGGCCAGATTGGAAAAAGAAAAGCTTCATTTAAACTCTAATAACTCGTAAAGTATCAGCTTTCACAAAAAAATGTATATAACAAAAATGGTTATACTGGTCGATGTCTTTACGAAAGTGCAGCATTTAAGCCTTTAATGCAGAGTCGGTCATATATGAAACGCTTTTTAAGGATTAAGTTATTGTTGTTGTTACTTCTCTGTAGTTTTCCTATATTATATGATCATTTATCTTCATGATAAAACAATTTCCATTCCATTATCTCTTTTCTAAGCGAAGATCTACCATTTTGAAAAAAAATCGTGTTTTGACTATAGTGCGACGTTTCCACTATTCATAATTCGCCAAGTAATTCGTGAATTACCCTGTTTCCACTGCACATTCGTAATAAGTTTGGCAGCTCTAGTTATTATTCTTCGCTATTTATTCTTATTTTTACTTACTGGAAATATCGAAGATGGAGAAAAAATGTTAGTTATCATCAAACATTTTAATATAGAAACAATATTTTATTAATTACGGCAATAAAGGGTGAACACACCAAAACTGCGACACTTTGGGAAGCTTATAACTTACCCAAAACGAATTCAATATTTTGAAATTCAAATACCATAAGCTGACTACATGATCTTAGTTGGACGTAGAAGAAATTTCATTTGAATTTGATTCCTAGTTGAGTTCAAAATGGCAACCGAGTTAGAAACGAGACAAACCATTTTGCACGAGTTTATAAATGATCCGGCCTTAAGTACACGTAAAATTGCTAAAAAATTAAAGATTGCACTATTCGACAGTTTGCAGGGTTTTAATCGGTACAAATAAGGCCTGGCAGATACGAGAAAACCAGGGAGCGGGGGTTAGCATGGTCAAAGTGATAAAAACAGTGCTCGGAAGGTCCTCAGTGCGTTTTCGCGAAATCCGAAGATTTTGTCGCGTTATGTTGCAAAATCCGTACGCAGATCGCAGTTTTTCGTACAAAAGGTAAAGCGGAAAGCTTCATTGAGATGTTCTACAGCTCAAACAGCGCCAGACCGAGGCGCAAAGTAGAATGTTACAGCGAAATCCCGCATTCGGAAGTTGTATGAATTCTAAATTAAAAAATACAACTGCATTGTTATGGACTACGAAACCTACTGCTATAAAAATTCAAAATATATTGCAGGTCAAGATTTTTATACTGGTGCAAGTCGTCAAGATGCCCCTGAAAGTTGTAAGCTGAAAATGAAGTCCAAATTTCCAAAAACCCACATGGTTTGGTAAGCTATTTGATCCTGTGGCCGTAAGAGCAGCCCTTTTTTCCCATCCGGGACAATGAATGATCAAGTTTATCGGGATGAGTGCCTCAAAAGGCGTCTTCTGTCATTTATCAACAGATAAGGAGTAGGCCACTGTTCTAGGCGGACGTGGGAACCTGCCACTATGCCAAGGACACATTGCCGTGGTATAATGCAAATAACATCAATTTTGTACCTCACGACTGCAATCCGCCCAATAGCCAATAGAGCCACGTCCTATTGGGGAATATTGGTCAATTGTCAAAGAAATCTTGCAGAAAACAGGTGAAACAGTGAAAAATATTGAAGAGTGCAAAACAAAGTAGTTGTGCGCATCGCGTAAAGTCGATGATGCAGTCGTGCAGAACATGATGGCGCGTGTGCGATGAAAATACCGATCACTTGCATATGGAGCAAATAATTACTTTTTTAACATTTTAATAACATCTAAACTTCCAAGTTATATAACACAAAAAAAAATAATTCCAAAGCCTGCTAGTTTGTTTCTGGTAGTAATTTTTAAGTGTCGCAGTTTTGGTGTGTTCACCCTTTAATTCGTCTTTGTTTTCATTATTTTGTTTTGATAACTTTTCGGTTCCCAATTTACTTTTATCGATTATTTTCGTGAAAAAGAGAAATGTAAAAGTAAACAAAATTGGACGTTAGCAAGGAAGAGAGGTATTTTTAATAAAATATTAAGTTAAACATATTTAAATTGCCTCATATAGCAGAAAAAAGTGATCAAAGTGGCTTAGAGAAGAAACATAAATTTTTCTTGAGATGTGAGAACAACAAGCACAACAAATTTGACGGGTTAATAATCTGAGATTTGTCTGTGTAAACGGGGTGATTAAACCTGGGCAGTCCCACACAAACACCACAGCACAACAACATAACACAATAGACCACACCACAACGGCTACAGACCACCGAACATCCACAACCGCACCACCACCCATACGCCGCCGCCAACAACTCCTGGTTCCTCCTACAATCTGCACGGTATGTCAGACCAGGATATTCCGTAATGTGACATCAGTCAAGTGCAACACCTGCCTTGGCTGGTGCCACTTTAGGGCATGCTCAGGTCTGCGCACCACGCGAGATTGGACGAGGAACTTCGAGGGCTCGTGGTGCACTGCTCGGTCGCAGACCTCAACTGCGACTCCTTCCGCCACCACTACAGGGCGGCAACCATCACAGCAGCACACACAGCCAACGGCGGTAAGAACACACACATCCTTACACCACACATCACGACACGTCTCCCGAACCACATGAAGCTCCTTCAATTTAACTGTAACGGGCTTCAGAGCAAGATCGAGGAGATAACCGTCTTCATGGGAAGGCATGGCATATCGATAGCTGCGGTCAAAGAGACGAAGTTGCACAGCAATTCAACACTGTTGAATTGTGGAGGGTACAACGTGCACCGTCGAGATCGCGAGCGGGATAATGGTGCTGGTTAACGTTCATCACGCACCACACCGTGCAGTATCGTCTTATCTAAGTAGACATCGACCGCAGGGATACCACCCTAGAATGTCAGAGCATCGCTATCCGGTCAGGCGATGTTGAGCTCGAAATATTTAACATATATATACCCCCTGACACCTGCTGCCCGGCAGGATATCACCTTACATAGATGCGCTCCTCAGAGGCGAAAACCGTATGGTAGTAGGCGACTTTAATGCGCACCACGATCTTTGACACTCAAGCCTGTCAAACGATCGTAGGGGAACTGACTTGGCTGAGCAGATAGACGATTCGACATTCTGCACAATGAACGACGACGCACCCACCAGGATTATGGGCGACTGCTGCAGCTCGCCAGACATAACAATAGTCAGCGCTGGTCTGATAAACAGCATATCATGGCGACCTATGCTGACTTTGGCATCAGACCATCTGCCCATAGTCATCTCGATCGATGAACCAACCGACTTTGCTTCCGCGGCGCACCGAACATAAATCAACTTTTTTAAAGCCGATTGGAAAGGCTTCGCGGAAGTTACTGAAAACAACTTCGCTGCTCTCCCCACACCAACCGACGTCCACCTTAGTGAACGTAAGTTCCACAGGGCTGCCACTGCTGCTGCAGCTCGCTTCGTACCGGCAGGATGTATCACAGACCCACGTCCAAATTTCCCTGCTGAAGCGGCTGTTCTAGCCGATGAGCGTGATAGCCTTCGTCAGGCC